AAAAAAAAAAAAAAAAAAAAAAAAAAAAGGAAAGAAAAAACAGATAAACATACTCTGGTAGCCTTTGATCTTTATGCAATATTCAGCTGGGAAAAGGCCTCTATGATGCAATTTTTCCGCCCAGCAAGGATTCAGGTATTTATTTTTACCTGACGAAAAATTTGTGCCTTGCTGTACAGTAGAATTAAAGGTATCTTCACAAGACGGATCTGAGCCGTTGTATGACTGACAGACGAAGCATCCAATACTTGAAGTTTCTAAAATTTCAAACCCTTTTTTTTGCAAAGGGATTTAATTCACCAATGGTTTTTTAATAGTGTTACTTCTCGCACTGGAATTTGATGTTTTACAAATATTGGTTCTATGCAAATTATAAAGGCCATAACCCAATTCAGAAAACAAATTATTCGGCTTTTCTATGAAAGCTAAATACGGGAGAAAACTTACTTTCAATAAAGATAAGTATGATAAGGGTTGCGTTTCGCAGTGCATGATATTTTAGTGGTCTGAAACGATTCGTCAAATTAGCCATACGCGCTCCTGATGAACGCGTTCAAATTCCAATTTAATTTTTCAATCACAGGTGCTTGTTCAGTGAACGAATACAAAACTGGATATGGAACAAACGCACTATTGTTGGGAAAAATACTTGTTAAGGACGGCCGCAAAAGGGGCCGGGATATGGACGATATCACAGAGTTAGCGAAGGCGACAATAACTGAGGGGTAGGTGGCTTGTTGTTAGAACTAGGCACTACCCCTCCTCCAATTTAGCGCGAAGTTATTTTTTGCTGCACTGTCATAGCAGTTCCTAGTGGAATAAATTTCAAAAAATTAGGCAATAACAGCAAGCAGCGTTTCCTGTTCTGAAGTAATAATTCAATTTGCCTGTAAATAGTTGATGGTTTAAAGGAAAGTAAATAAACAAAACTGCACGCTTAAGATACTGTGGAGCCAATTATTATCGATATGGCACTCATTACTTTAGTTGCCAAATTCAAGAGCGATACAATAATCACAGGCTAAACAAATTTACATTGTTGGCTTTAGATTACTATGAACAAACTGGGCTATTCTATAATTCCTTCTGAACGGCGGCCGAGTAATGTAGCTTTGTCTTCGTGTGAAGTGAAGCTTTTGCACATCTATTTCAAAAGACACCTTAGGAATGAAAATATGTGTTAAGGGAGCTGTGTGTTATCTAGCAGAGAAGATCAGGAAAACAAAGAAACGATTAACAACACCAAATTATGTTCATCAAATACTATTACCGCAAGTGGTAAAATTTTGAAAAGAGTTTGTTCGGCAGTCAATTGCCAATTTTGCTGTTTTTGTTATCGTTAGACGCTCAACGATGCTTCCTACTCGTTTGAAAGGTGAAATAAGTTTGTCGAAAAAAGAAACATAAAGACAGTGAAAACTAGAAAGCAAAACGATTAAAAGGCCAAAAAGATGTAAGATTTAACAAATATATAAAACCGTGTAGTAAGTACAGTTTCGATTTGGAACTCTAAGGCATAGCAAAATTAAAACTACCAAACGAATTTGCAGAGAAAAAAGCTACAGCTTTTTATTAAAGATTTACTGGAATTTGCAGTCCGTCTTGTCGAGCAAGATGAGGTTTTCGATAACTATTGGTAATTATAGATTTACGACTAACAGCAATGCATTCATGGATGCAAGATCTAGCTTCTGAAATTTAAGCACGTGAAGAGCCTCAAACATCTTCTAATAAAATAATTAGCTTATAGGGAGGAGCAGGCAGTGAGACAAAAAGACAAACAGACAATGAGACATAAAACATGAAAACAAGTTTCTTTCAGCTCTGCGCAACTGTTATCCGTGATAAACCTTGACTTCAGGAGACCGACAAAAAAAATTACAACTACAGGAAACACCCTAGCGAAGCTCCATCCGAAATACAAGGTGTAAAACTCAATTGCATGGTTACGAAACAGTAGCTGTTGGGGCCTTTTTGATAATTATGTGAACGAAAAGAAAAAACATAGTAAATAAACAAATAAAGTCGAACATAAAAACCAAAAAAAGCTACAGTTTTGGTAACTAAAAATCAAACTTTTACGGAAGAAAGAAAGTTTTATTAAAAAACAGCTGTTAAAAACAAAAATTTTAACATCTTAAACGCGCAAACTAACAACTGCGTCATATGATGCATGCATTGGCAGCAGGTATGACTTATACTTTTAACAGATAATAAAACTGACAAATATGGAAATAAAGAGAACTTAATTAATTTCAAAAGAGAAATATTGGTTATAAGTTGCTGCGAAAAAGTTGTTCAGAATATTTCACCGAAAAGGGAGTAACTTGAAATGTCAGCTGAAGTCAAACACCTATCATGAATTTCAGACGATCAAATACTTCTGCGAGAACTACATTTAGCAAGCGCCTTATTCCCATCAACACATACAAGAAAACAACATTACCCAAACAGCGAGAAGCTCAAAATTGTTATTAATATCAAAATAAAGGAATAAGGAAGCACAACAATCCTTACCTACTCCTTAATCCCCTAAAAATCCAGTTGTTGAACAAGCAATTGTCATTAAACGTCAGCCGATTCATATATTACTTAAAAATAAAGCAAAAAACAACTTTCCGTTTAACTGGTGCCGTTTCTTGACTGTAACAAACATT